ACTGCTACTGCTACCACTACTGCTACATACCACAACCACTACTTGCTGTTTGGTGCGACTGCTAAAAAACGGTGACCGGGCTGGAGGATTCGAGAGGTTCGGAATGGACATGCTCTACCACCAGCCACATGTCTTTGCGCACACCACCCTCCACCCCACCCGCCCAAACCCCGAAGCTGACTAGAAGGAATCATAGGGAGGTGGGTCTGACAGTGGGCTGAAACCGCACTTCTGTTCATACTCCCACTCCCACTCACTGTAACTCTGAATACCACTCGTACTACTCGTACTGCTGACTAATGTTTCCCAGTGGCCAGTAAAATTAAACTATTCTAGACTACTATTACCCTTCCTTGTTTGAATTCCTTTTTTGGCGGCCCTGTGCAACTCTCATGCAGCACGACCCCAAGCACGTTTCTCTAGTCTGTGAGTAACCCTGAGCGGAGCTAGCTGTGAGCAGGGTTTTGCACCTTGGCAGCCTAAACGGCTCCAAAAGTGGCGGTCTGCAGCTACTCTGTGAGTCTGTAGATTGTAGATACGGGTGCGGGAAGGAGTTGGTGTGAGAGGGAAGCGCAGTCGTGGACTTTGAAAGCCAGTGCCATGTCAACCGTTAACCTGGTACATTGTTGCTACCCATCCTGAAACCAGCAGCTATAGCACCACCTCTTTACTGAAAACTGCTACCAGTAGTAAAACAACAGCTCTTTTCTACACAGCTCGGATGGGATCGAAGAATGCGCCCCAGTAATTTCAGCTGTGCTTTGTGGACTGGTGTGTGAGTGAGGGCTGCTTTGTGAGGAAGCGGACTTCCTGGTTCGTGTAAGTCCACACCGTGGGTACAAAGACTTCGGTGTAGTACGTGCTTTTGAAGTGTAGAATCTTCCTCAGGATCTGTGAATCTGTGAGTGGAAAGCTTCGAGGCGGTTGTAGTCGTTGGTGCTAAAAACGACGGAGTCTAATCCATACGCCAGCAGTGATACACAGCTTCCAGTTCGATGTGAAGCCCTTGTTGCGCCAAAACTAGTGGGGCCCGTGAAAGTGTTTTCGGGCTTTGGCTAGCCGGGTGGTGATGTTTTTGTGTGTGGAGCCATCGTTGCTGAGGGTGACTCGCAGGTACTTGGCATGGGTTTCGATGGTGAGTGGGGTGGTGAGCGGGGTGCCGTGTCGGAATTTGGTGTTGGTTCTGTGAGGTGAACGAAGAAGAACGGACTTCTTTAAGTTGAGGTGCAGATTGCTGCGAGCCGCGACCGCCTGAAAGGCGTGCAAAAGCTCGTCTGCTCTGGTGGCTGTGCATGCAAGTAAGGCAGCGTCATCCGCGTAAGCATTGCTGGTTCTCGCTGTAGAGTGACGGCAAAAATTGCCCCTCTGCTGTGAGTTCCTGGTCCACGTCCATGCCGTGGACTATGGGGAACAGGTAGGGTGAAAGTAGGCATCCCAGCCGAATGCCTGCTTGTGCTTGCGCTGTGGAGGAGGAGGAGGAGCGCCCCGCTGCAAACACTACAAACTGTGGTGAGGTGTAGATGTTGTTGATCAGTGCTGTGAGGTGGAAAGGAACCAACCTGGAGAGTGCTGAGAGAAGTGCGTCTGGATGTATCTCGTCAACTGCCTTCTCCCATCGTATGGCGCTTCGAAGATGCTCTATAAATATATGTATCGATTGGGATCTTGAACGCGAAGCACGGAACCCGTACTGTGACGGGCGCAAGCGATTGTCGATTGGCTCGGCTTAGAGTCCGGTGTGAATAACTTTGGCTAAAAGGTTGTCTGCTGTGTTGAGAACTGAGATGGGCCTGTAACTGAAGGGGTCTGGTGGCAGGCCGTTCCCGTTGGTGGCAATCAGGGCTTGTCTGGTTTAGCACTCTGCGGAGTGCTTGGAGGTTGTGGTCATCAGCCATTGCCACATTTCTGCCGGCAGCGTGTCTGGGCCTGCTTCAGCGCTGCTGCGAGCTCTTCTGTGGATATGGGGTCCATGCTGATGTTTGCCTGTGGATGTATTTGTGTGGTGGGGCCTGCGTGCGTATGGCGTTGCAGGCGCGGCCCAGTTTGAGTCTCGCAAGTATTCTACGAAAACTTGTGCCTGCTTGCTGGGCTCATTGGCTTGTCCTGTGACCCGTAGTGAGACCGGCCGTTGGGATGTACACGGATTTGACTCGGTTGAGCCACTTCCACTTCTGCCGTGATTCCTCAGCGGCCTTGCTTTCGGCGAGCCTTTCCTTAAGCCTTTGCGAGCCTGCTAGCGTATGTCCTTGTGGAGTTGGGCGCTGTGATTCTTGAATTCCTACAGCAGGAAACTCAGGACCCAGACCCAAGTTTTTCAGTACGAGCTTGGTTATTGCGGCACAGCCACCGGGCTCTAGGGAAACGGCCCAAATGCGATTACACGAAAACCTAAATGCGACCCCGACAAAATCTGATCCCCAGACGTTCCGCACAAAAGCAAGTCCTGCCGGACTTAAGCGATGGTATAAAGATAAAAACGATTGCACGAGAGGATTTTGCCACAGTTCACATGGGAGGACCGCAAGAGTCAACTGACCACGCACAAGCCAGAAGCATTGCATGCATGGGCTGGCATAAATCTTGCACCAGTCTGTCCGAACATGCCGGCCACCAGAGAGTGGGTGCCGGCCAGACAAGCAAGTCTTATTTAATTTGCATAGGACCATTTCAACTTGGCTGTGCTGTAGATGCAAAACAAAGGGAGGAATTTTCGGTAGACAGAGCCATCAGACTTCCCCGGAATCACCACGGCCATGAAGCAGTATCGACCCAAACTAGTCCACGCAAAACCGCTTAACTCAAAACCCCGCTGTCTCAAGAACTGGAACACACACACACACACAGAGATTTGCGCACTAGAGCACCAGAAAAGAAACGAGGTCAGTCTCAGGTCAGTGCCGAAGCCACAGGGCAGCTGCTCAGCACGTCGCAAAGTCCTGGATCCCACTGAGTGTCCGCACCATGCCATCCTTGCGACTCTTGCTCCATGCCTTGTCCCACCCGCTTCCATCGTCCACGTACTCGATGAAACGCGGCCTGGGCTCGGGCTCTTTCAAAGCTCCCAGAAGCCAAAACTGGCATCACGACACGGCCCTTGCGACGTCTTCACGAGCAGCTGACATCTCGTCAGGATGGACGCTGAAGTTTGCCAAGTCCTTACAACAAAAACTCAGCACAAACTGCATGCCGGCTACAAGAATCGACAGCAACCAGGATGCTGGCCTTCTTGCCCCTCACCTTCGGTGCAAAGGGGGGATCCAGAGTGAACTCCGTAAACTTGTCCTTGGTCGACGAGATTGAGACTGCGAGCAAACCTTTTGGACTCCAGTGGCTCCGCTCACATTGCGATCGGCTAGGATCCCAAACCCAGTTGAAGCCTTTGTACCAGGCATGTGCCTGACGGGGCGCAGTAGCACAGCACGACCTGTGAGATTCGTCCGACCTTGAGGTTTTTGGCACCACCAGGAAGCATCGGTAATCGGTCTGCTGGCTCCTTTTGGCAGATTGCCTCGTAGCTAGGCAGGTTCCCACACAACTCGACGCTGCGAACCGCAGACGGATCCAAGTTCCAGCCTTTATCAGATCCACACATTGGGGCGACAGCTGCGGAGGGAACTTCACGGAGTTGATGCCCTTCCTTGGTCACAGAAACATTCGCAGGATTTCATGTCCTTGAAAGTTCCCAGATTCTCAGTGTGGCGCAGAACTTTCGCATAGATCTGCATGGGGTATGGCCTTACACTACAGTGTGTCGCCACAACTGCAAAGCGTGATTGCGAGGGCAGTACGCTTCGAAAGGAGCCGATCCAGTCCTGCATCCAAGCATCAACCCAACTCACCACGAAACTCAGAACAAAGTACTGAGTAGCGTGCATGAACTCGAAGACGAGGACCCCGAGCATCCACCAGTCCACGGCATGAGTGTGTCCAGTCCTGGGGTCTTAATCCCCGGCAGAGCAGATTCGAACGCCTGCGAGGGCGTGGGTCTTTGTCAGGGTAGGCCCGGTCTTCGGCTCCATGTCCTAACAGGGCCTAACACCTTCTCTATACCAGGTGAGTGATCCCACAGAGGAGCTATCGGGGAATGCTTGTGGATTGTTCGCGAGACGCAAGCTCCACTGTCTGCGGCATCTTAGCCCTGCACGACGCAATGACTTCTGGGGCGAAATAGTCCGGCGTGCCACAGGTCGTGTAGGTCTGACGATGCACAGAATGCTGCTGTAACTTGATCTCCAAGAGAGTATCACAAGCCTTGCCGATGACAAACTTCGCCAAGCCCATGTCTGTGACCTTATCAGGCAAGGAGACTGGCCCTACCCTTTGCAGCACTGAGAGCGTCACCTTAAGATGGCCCTTCTCATTGAGAAGCAGGTTCTCCGGTTTCAGATCCCTGACAGAGGAATGAAAAGACTTTAGATGTGCAAATAAAAATCATTTTGCAAGAGCGTTGGACAGTGTGGAGTGCATGGCCGCCTGTAGATGATGTGTCTTTCGTGCAGATGTTCGAAGGCACATACCTCGGAGTAATCGCAAGGCAATATGCCTTCAGTACCGAACAGCATTTGTCAAGCGAGTGTAAGAAGCAGGCCACGCCCGCAGAGTAGTATCTCGCGTGCTTCTCGCTTCCGTAGAAGCCCTACCCACGAAAAAACGTACTGATCACACAACTGCCACCGTGCAAAAAGAACCGGCTAGAGGACGGGCCTTCCTCTGGTACATCGAGTACAATTCTCCGCCCAAAGCAGGCCTGTGGCACCACGGCATCGGCATGCTACTCTGCACCGGACCGTCCCAGGTACAAGTAGGTCATTTCAGTGACAAGTTCGGTGCAGTGCATGTCGGTACGGTGCGTTTCTCGAGCTCCCGGCTCCATCAAGAAATAGATCGACTGCTTGGAGTTATACCTGACACTTCCAATCTCGATGCCTTGCTCTGAGGGTACTACCACTAAGAACCTGAGCGTGCTTCCCATGCCAAGCTCGATAGCTCAGTGCCGCACGTCTCGTACAGACGGATGATGAAGTCTGAGTTCGTCATGAAGAGGATGTTCTTCTCAGTGATCACACTGTCCTTCACAGGCAGGATGCCGTCCGGCCCTAGGAAAATCGTAGCCAGTCATGTCTACACGTCCAACCCTTGCAAACACGCAACATGGACCTCCACTCTCTCTACATGTCCTGAAACCTGTTCACAGTCTATGACATCTATGACCTCTGCAGCGAGTGTCGTCATCCCAGTCTGAGATCAGCTATGGCAGGTATCGGCAACTGGGGCATGAGTCGTGAAGACTCCAACCCCGTCACAACGAACAAATGATCGAGCAACGTGAGCAGCGGAAATGTGTCCTGCATTCCCGTCTTCACGATGAAACCCTTGCTGATGCCTGAGGCATGGTCCGGCAGGTCGCTTCTAGGCCCCTTCATCGTGAGATAGCATCTGAAGCGTCCAAGTCCCAGGGTGCTTGCATTTCATGGCATAGGTCTCTCCGCTCGACTTGTGCTCCCAAAGCTCTACCTCGCAGAGGGCACAGCATGGCACAGCACAGCCAGTCCAAGATTTGGATTCTGGGCCGCTTCTCCAAGGAAGGCACGGCACCGAAGCCGCCGGCTCCGAGGAGGCCGATCTTCTGGAGATCACTCATCAGGATCTTTGGCCTCCACACTTTCGGCTCCGCTGTCAACTCGATGATTGAGGCTTGAGATGGCTGAGATGGCTTGAGGCTTGAAAGTTCTGCTTTCTGTCTGGCCCGCTACCTGCAGAGTCCCAGCAGAGTGAGGTTTCGAACCCCCCGCGGCGGCGTGTTGGATGGTGGGGAAAGGGCTCGTCGACACGATGCTTGCAGGCTCGCTCCGCATCTCAAGCGGGCCGGCGAGGCTCTTAAGTATGGATTCATTCCGGCTACGAACACCCTACTGCATCTTAACGAAAGCGCGAAAATTCATTGGAAATGTTCGGGGTGTGCTTTGGCTTGGTCGCTTGTTGGGATATCCACCCAAGCACGACCCAAGCAGACGTCACCCTGGTTCCGCACCTCCACCATATCCACCATCTTATCTGGATTGGCACTCAGCTATTGCAAGAAACACAATCCCCGAGCCTGTTTGGATCCCGGCCACCACCTGCTCCTCCTGCAGGAGGAGCGACGGCACCCTGCGTGGCCAGAGTTCCAGAAACAAGCGTAGTGGGCCCTTGCTGAGCAGCGCAACAAGCATGGAAAACCGGCGAGCCTTTGATGGTTGATTTCCCTGGTCTTTGCGAGCCAGGATTTCCTGCCCATCACTTCTTGGTCTGAGCATCCCGCGCAGGCAAGTTGAGACTCCTCCAAGGGTCCCAGCAGCAGGTCAAAGGCTTCCTTGTCCAGCGCCAGTGCCTGAATGGCGTGTGAGGCATGTGGCTTGCACCCCGCCGAACCCAGTTCACACTTCTCAACATCCCCTTTCTCTCCCTCTGCCTTGGCATCCTTGGACACTACCCTGACCGTCGCCGCCCGCGGCTCGTTGTGCAACAGGGCACGCTCGCCTTTGGGACACACATGGACATCTCATAACGGTTTAGCACATCACGTATCATGAACGATGACAGGCCCGGAAGCCGAACAAGAGTGCCCGGAGAACGTCGCTGCTCAACATCCGGTGCCGTGTGTTCGGTTGCGCTAGGTCACCGAAGCACGAGTTCCGAGCGCAGGGAAGCAAAAAACACAAGCTATGACACGTACTCTCGCTTGCCCTGACACACTCCAAACCGAGTCTACACACAGGTCCTGGACAAAGAGTCCCCAGCGACAAGTCTCAGGATCAAAGGCAGTTTAACCCTGAACCGAGCGCGTGGCCAAAATATTGAGCTGTTCCCCTGTCTTCGCTAGCCTTCGCATGTCGCATGCGACGACAGCTTCGCTCAGGGCTGGAGGACCTCCGAAGGCTGGCAGGCCTGGAGCCGAACCTTTTCGTCGCCATCTATCGAGACTGCAACCTCATTCCAGCAAGCATGAAAGCAACTCATGACACCTTCCAAAAGCCAAGATGCGCACCTCTCCTTCAAAGAGAATGTAAAAAGTTGTGCCTGGATCACCTTGTTGAATGATCACCTTCCGCGCAGGCAAGGCCGAGCATGACATCGATGAGATTTTCCAACATGCTCTGAAATCTGCCACAATGGATGGCAGCCTCGTTCTTCGCAAAATGAACCTCCATAAGCGCTTTGGCCTGCCAGCGATCCCGCTGCGCATGAACAGCGACTTGCACCAACAGTGTGATCAAGAGCGTGATGTCTTAAGGACAGCTACAGTGATCTTCGGCCGATGGGAGAATCCCCGCCCTAACACCCCGAGCCAGATTTGTCTGTAGTGACTGCATCAACTGGGCTCCCTGCCACTTGCTGCTTTTCTGCAGCGAGCAAACTGCTCAAAATTTCAACCTTCGCGAGCTCACGTATGTCTCTGGTTTACGTCGAGGTTGGACTGCTCAATTGCTGAGACGCGCTCCCTGCTCAAATATTTCACGTACTCCTGAATCTTCTCGTCAGAGACCTCGACAAGCCCAAAAGATGAAGAATTGAAAAGCTGAAACTCTGTCTATGCGGCTCAAGATACACCGCTCGGCCTGGGGTGCTATATACTTGTACTTGCCTTATCTGCATGACTTCAATGTTGATGGTGGGAATATTATCACGGTACAGCAGAGCCGAGCAGAAGCAGAGCGAGAGAACCCGGGCAGTGACCAGGAGACAAGCACGATTCACAGGGCTGAAACAATCGAGAAAGGAGCGAGAGTTACAAGCCTGCCCAAGGGTTGGGAGACTCGATGCATCTATATGTCCTGCAAATCACATGCGGCGCGACCTTCATCAGGATGTCTTTGAAGTTCTTGCGATCGATGACCCAAACTGATGAGTCTTCCTGACAGCCAGAACGTGCCGCTGCCTCGTAAAAGCATGTTCACATAGAAGGTCAAGCCTTCGCAATGACCGTGGCTGCCCGTGGCACCAGGTAGAGCAGCGCTAGCTCCTGCAAAAACACACGAACAAACACAAACAAACACAAACACACAAAAACCCAGACAGACACACAAACACACACTCTTGGACTGTGTGATTGCACATGAAAGATTGATTTCACTGACATGTCAAGTGCTGCCGAGTGACCCCAAAGCTTCCACCGGCTGTCACAGTTTGCACCAGCTTGCGCTTCCTGGAGGGAAAGGCACAGAGGCCGATCCCGAAATCGAGCTAGAGGACCGCTCTCAAACTCGCTTCAAACCCCTTAAGAAAGCTGAGGCAGGCACCCTTCACCACCGTTTTTGGTGTCCGCAACAAAAATCTCAAATGTCCCCGTCTGGCAGATCTCAGTGCAGAGCCGGTTGTCCAGCGACCCCTGCTACTATGTCTGACAGGAACTGTCGATTCGCACTGGGCCAAGTGCATAGAAGTAATCGGCAATCAAATCACCTGACGAGCCACTCAGTCAGCATCGACATTCTTTGATGCTAAGGGGTCTTAAGCCCTAATATTTGTTGCCGCACATGCAAACATGGAACCCCACGTCCCTGTGCAAATCCGTGCAGATCTGTGTCTTTAAAGGAGCTGCGTTAAGCGCTCAAGCTCCTCAATTCCGCCGTGATGACTCTGGATTTTGTTTAGGAACAGCTGCCGCAACTACTCAAGCTTGCTGACAACATGAGGACGCCTTCGGAGATAATTTCCTTCCCGCTAGGCACATTCCTTGGTCGCAGCATCCAGCGGTAAGCTGCAACGCCACTCAGCCCTGTGAAAAGGAAGCTCAATTGAGCTCCTTGCTCCTTCCAGGCAATGTCAATGATCTGCTTTACCCGGATCCTGCACAGCATGGCGAGATTGCCCACTGCCATTCCCATACCCAGCAGGCAAGGTCGCTTCTTCTGGGCTGAGCCGAGAGCTCGTCTAGTTTCACCATTGTCTGAATGTTCTCGTTCTTCTTGAGCCTCAGAGCAACCGGCCGTGGTGCAGGGACTTCGTTAATACTGTTAACACTAGCCAACATGAGACATAAGCTGCTTACGCTTTCTCCATAAGCTGCCGCTCATCCGTGTTCTTTTCGGTGGGCGCCTGTACCTTTGGCGCAAGTTGAAACTTTGTTCATTCCTGTCTGCAAAACTTGATGAGCTCCAGGCCACCAGCTGCCGTTTGCCTCCAGCACCCACTGCTTTTCTGTTGGCAAACTGGATCTTTTCGTTCAGACCGAGGTCCTGCTACCAGTGACTCGTGCAAGTGCAGTGCGAATTCAGGCCAGGAACATCCCAAGCACTGGCGGTGGAGCCTGGAACTTCTCCTGGGTAATCTTTAGAGTCCTGATTTCTGTCACCGCCTGGAGACATGATACTTGAGTCATTCGCATGAGCTGCAGCCTACTCGAATTGCGGGGATCTTGCGATGTTATGCAGCTGCTTCAGAAGTCTAGCCCCTCACTGGTGGTCGGTCGTTCGTCGGCCTTGATCGTAGCAGAGCGGGGCTCGTTCCGAAGCAAGGCGTTTTCTCCGAAATAGTCACCCTGCTTCAGCGCGGCGACCTTGGCTTGGGGGTTGCATTCGGGTTTCTGTCGGTGCTGCGTAGCCTCGCCTTCTTCTGACTACCCGGTTCACCTTTCAGCACCTGGGACCGATTGCAGCTGCACAGCGTCAGTCGTGGTGCAATTTTATGCGTGCCTCAGCCTCTCCAGACTGGATGATGAAGAACTCTTTGCCCACTTCACCCTGCAAATTCAATCGAGTCAGGATCGAGCAAATCACCTCTCAATTCAAGGTGCATCGACCCAGCCTCTGTCATGATAGTTTGACCTGCCTTGAACCTGATCGATGAAGCCGAGCAACCATTGCCAAGCACTGGAAACAGCCAGTCCACACATGTAGCTTGGCAGAACTTAAGCAGCGGACGGCTGGTTTACACAGGCAGCTGCCAAGATAGGATGCTGGTCCTCGAGTCCACACACTGAGGTGCAGGAGAGACATTTTCTTGAGGCGTCCCGGTCCTTTGGCAGTCTCATGAAGAGCGGGACTTGCGACAAGAAGGACATGGTCGCCTGCAGTGCGACTGGATGCATTCACTGAGGAACGGAAGCGAATGTCGAAAAAGACCTCCCTCCTGCCTGATACTGTTTGTTTTCTTCCTTTGCCTTCAAGCGCACGAACGCACGTCACTGAATGTACACAGTTTGAGAAAGTTTGAGGATGATGTGCCCCGCACCTGCTGCTTATCTTGTGCATTGCCAGTGGTTTTCCCATCTTTTGTACTGGCCTGATAAGTTCGGGCAGCTCATGCTTTGCTTCGCTGCAAGGCCTTGTCAATGGGAGCCACAATGACAAGCACAAGGTCCCAGCTGATGAACTAGCAGCGTTGCTGCCTCAGTCCAGGGAAATGCGAAGGCAAATGGCGGCGGGAGCTTGCAAGGCGCAGGCTAGTATTGCAACCCATGTCCACACGCAGGCAGGCCCAGCTGGCCTCAGACTTCTCAAACTCTGTTTATTTCCAGCTCGCAGAGCCGCATGCTATTTCCGGAAGCTGCATCCAATTACCTTCAAACGAACATGTGCCATAACTTTCGCTATGCGCCCGGCTCTCGACAAGCAAAAGACTTTGCCGTTGCCTGTGCTTGGCGACAATCATGCGCAGCAATGAGAAACAGAAATTTGCATCAGCCGCCGCTCCCTCGACTTGCAGCTCAGAAGCTGTTCAGAAGAGGCCAAAGAGTGCAGTCAACGTGGGCCCTTCCTATTCTTGAACAAAACGCATCTGGCAACACAGCATGCTTCTGGGACGCTCCTTCAAAAAAAGTTCACATTCAAACACACACCCCAAGTTCATAACACAACGAAGAAGCCTGCCAGAACTTGGCACCAACAGTATCGAGAATACCGCTACCAGCCGCGAACTGACCTGGCAACAGCTACTCTACAGCTCACAGTTTGCATTGCAGGAAAGCTCAACCTGCAAAAGCACACAATTTTGCATCGCAAGTCGATCACTTTCGCTCCCAAGCATGGGAGCGACTGCAGCAGAGTCGCTTCTGTAAATCCAAAGCTTGCATTCTGCCGCTCTTGTTTCAGCTGTAAGCACCATTTGTGGAGTCCAGCCTGGCAATTTGAAGAGGTAGCTGGCGATCGGAACACCCCGCTGGCAATGCGCATCCCACAACGCAGCACTCAAGCTACGCAGTCCATCAGGAACCAGGTATACGAAGATCTTCGTCGCCTCTGACAGGTTCGCCTTCAGCGCGTCGCCGCAGATCACTTCCGCCAAGCTCTCGAGCTTCGCTTCCCGGATCGCTTCCGAGGCCTTTTCTGCAAAGCGGGTATCATATTCGACTCCCACTGCTCGAGCTCCTCGCCTGGCTGCTGCTAAAAGCATTCGCCCATCTCCACATCCTAGATCAAAGAGCGTGTCTCCACTCTGCACTTCGAGGGTATCCAACACCTGCTTTATGGCACAGTCTGGCGTCGGATTATAGGGCGCCAGTTTCACAGCCTCCAGGCAGGTGCTCTGGTTATGGCAAGCCTCTGCGTGATGCCGGGCTGTGCGCCGACCTGCACTCCCGCGGAGAAAGGACTGAATCGTTGTTGCAAGTCCACACTCCTGCCGCATCACCTGAGCCAGCCGCACGAAAGTTGCCTCGTTGGCTGAATTGCCGGAACCGACTAATCTGAGCCATAGGCTTCGAGCACCTTCTGTGCTTATGCTCCCGCCTGCGCCCCTGCAAGCATCTAACTCATCCCAGTTGAGCCATTCTTCATACGTTAAGCAATGTTTCCCGGCAGTAAACTGCCGGCAGAGTTGTGCAAACTGTTCTTTCAAAGACTCGGAGTCTGTCAGTGATAATGGCTTTGATGTATCATCTCGGTTGTCTCTCTGCTGCGGCTCGGCATCCAGAAGACCCTGCAGAAGCTGCTCTGCATCCTGACTCCCAAGTTGGACACCCTGGTTCTTGCAAAGCTTCAGCAAGGATCGCGGCATCAATGTGCCCTGGTTATTTGTCACTGCCATCCAGGCGCGTGGATTCCGTATTCGCAGCCTGTCCAACAGAAGCTGCTCGTTGCTCCGCTGGTCCTGATATCCATGGCTTGTTTGCTCAGCTGGGGCGGCCATGCGATATGCGCGCCGCGAGAGTGCTTGGTGTCAAGCAGATACAAGTACTGACAAGTACCTGTTGTGAACCTTTGCTTGTGTCGTGGGTTTGAGTGGAAGGCAAATCAAGGGCCAAGGGCAGCTGCGATCTGCTCCAGAGCCCTGCAGTAGCTCATACTCTATTCATGTATTCTGTACCTCATGACGATGCCACAGAGTCGCTGCAAGAACACAACAGGGTAGAATCTAGGAAGGCCCAACAGCCGAAATCAACCCAAAGCAACAAGTTCCCAGCCCCAACATGTTCCAACCCGGTGTTCGCAAAAGACGAATGCAGACGCCCCGAATCATGATACACCGATACCGAAGGGGAACGCTGATCAAAGCGTGTGGAAGGAGGCAAGGAACAAAGACTGAATCCCTCACCACATCTCACCACATTCTCATAATCTCAGTACTCGCAAATGGCACGCGAGAGCGCAGTACAACAGATCGCCCCCTGCAGAGTCTGCTGAGGGCGAAGGCGATGTTTCCGAGATGCTGTGGAGAGAGCCTCTCGGGAGTCTCCGCTGGGTGTCACAGAGTCACAGAAATCGCAGAGCAAGTCATGGCATCCTCAGATTTCGAGCGAGGCACTCCCAGGCTCGCTTTGGCAAGTCGAGGCAAAGACGCTTCAGAAAGGCATCCATGGAAAACGCGAGGAGACCAAGCCTGTCAATGGCACCATCTTGGAGCCTACACTCTTTGTCATGTCCAAGGCATCTAAACGAAAAATCATGCCAACGGTAGCGAGCAACGAGTATGTCAAATTGGATACACCCTGGGCCGTGAACATTTCGAAGCTCTCTGATGCAACATTGCATGCTGCCTCCAGAAATGATGCATCCACAAATCGAAGCAGGCCAAGCGCATAGACCATGTTCGAGATATTTTGAGGACTGAACTCATGCAGCCGTAGTCGTGCGTTCTCACATGAAGCCCGCAACAGCGCATCATGTCGAGCGCGAATCAGCCCACATGAATAAAGAATAATCGCCAACTCTTGTGCTTTGAAACGATTGACCCGCTCCGGCGCATGTTCTCCCAGCGCTCGCCAGAAGCTGTCGTTCTTGAAATTTAACAAGGCCAAAGCATAAGCAGTGTTGGCCAAGGTTTGACTGCTACAATCCGGCATCCTCGTGGGCAGAGTGTCAATAAGCATCAGCGCAACCCGAACCGGTCTATGGCGAAGGAGGCCAAATCCGTAGAGCACGTTTGACACGTCCTGGGGCTGCATACTAGGTACCAGGGGCTGCATACTAGGTACCAGTGCTGGTGCTGTCTGACCGACTTGGAACCTATTAAATTCGACAATCTGCACGTCTTTTCACTGGTAATGGGGTAGAGCTGCCCACATGCACTGCATAGAGTCCCAGCAACCCAAAAACATTGAAAGGTCAGCACAGATTTAAAGGTTGAGCTTTGACACTGCCATGGAGCTCTCGTCGTGAAGTCGTGCACCTTCAGAGGGATGGCCTGCACCATGCCATTCAAGCAGTCCATGTCTTTGTGCTTTAGCTTGCCCCATGCCCAGACGGTGCCTTGGCTGGTAGGAACGCATCAAGTGACATGACCACAAGAGATTGAAGGAGGAGCTTGGATCTGTCATGCAGTGGGTGCCTAGTAGGTCCACGCTGATTTGACATGAGCTTCAATGTCTGTGCACGCTGGCATTTGCTCATTGCTGCTCGAAAGGTTGGAGCAGCAGAACTGTGTTTCACATCCGGGGTTCTCGAGATTTTCTGTTCTGCATGGGCCGTAAGGTCTGTATGTTGGCTATGGGTCATCTCTTCCCATACCAACGTGAGAAGACCTCTGTGTGCACTGCGTGACAATCAAGGTGGCAGTCCGCGTGCTTCCGTTCTGCATAAGAATCCCATACAGTGCCGATTCACACAGGATTCGCGAACACAGCAGCGGCGGATTCGCGCACGGACGGACCACTCTGATCGCAGCGGATACCCGAAACGACTCGCGCACCTGCACACGGCAGAAGCTTCACGCAGGAAAGTCAAGGATTGCCGATACACTCATACAAACCCTATACTAAACAGGGCGAATGGCAGACAAGTCGACAACATAGTGCGAAAAACCACACCCACACAGGCCCTGAAATGTGGACGAGCGGGTCAAACCTGAGAAGGAGCCAGGACGGACTAGGAGGAGAGAGAGAGAGAGGGGCGCTTTCACATCGCTTTCATGTGCACCAGAAGCCTTCGAAGGTGTGACTTGCACGTGCACTGATATCGGTGTTAGTCTCCCTCTAGTCACTGATGTCAGTTTTAATAGTTTTACCGGATGAGCCCGATGCATGGTCGATCTCTCTTTCTTTCACCAGGGCTAGGGGTAAGGGAGAGCAAACCCCCCTCACCCGCTCTCTCTCTCTCTCACTCTCTCTCTCGTTCTCTCTTAGGTATTTGTCCAGTACACGAACCAGCTTGTCAGTCTTCTCCCCCGTGCGTTGGCGTTCTGCATATCTTGTCTGGTAAGCTTCGTAGGACTTGGTCATTCCCGAATGCGTAGCAGAAGGGTTCTCGTTTGAAGGTTGGGGGTCTGGGGGATAGGAGTTGACGCGGAATGCGTGCACAGCGTTCGCAAGCGTCCACAAGCGTCCGCAAGCGTCCGCGAGTGTCGGATTTGGCTGGTAAGGACGGTCCCGTTGTGGTGCC